CCATCCATTCTTTATCTTATTAATATCCACTAATTTATTTTGATTTTTTTTTTAATATGAAGGCATCTACTTGCATAAACTTCAGAAATCAAGGACCAAAACATTTTTTCAAAAAATTTGAGGACCAAAAAATTATAAAAATGATCAAAATGTAAATAAAAATTAAATTTTAAGGACCAATTTTAAAAAAATTATAAGAATTAAAATTGAATATTTTTGATGGGTATTAAATAGATACTAAGTGAATGGATAAACTAATATAAGTCAAGTAAAGATTTAGATAATGATTTTTAATAGATAATGAGTATGATATTTTTTTATAAATATAAAAAAAATTAAATTAATGAATCGAATACTCGTCTAGCATAGTCCCTGTGCTAAATGGAGGAACCTAAGGATTAGGAGGAGCAGTAGATCCTCAGTCTGAGTAACCACCAACTGAGTATGAATGCCACATACGAAGAAGGAAAAATAATCAACGAAGAAGTGAGTAAATACAAGATAGCAAATAACATCATCATACCTCTACTCTAACTCTAGTAGACAACGGATGAATCCTCTATCGTAGAGTCAATAGCAGCTTCAATGTCTATAGAATCCACAGAGAAAGAAAACTTAGAAGGTGAAGGGAGCATATTGACAAACTTTATGACTAGACAAACAGGAAGCGCTACTGCCACTTCTTGGGCGGAGCATAGTAAGCCCAGTAGGAGAGGAAACTCTTGATAGGCATAAAATTAGAACTATGGCTTACGTCTATATATATAAAGGAAAAAGAGAGGAAGAAAAGGAAGATACCTCATGAAATCTACCCAGTTGGTCATCCTAGTTGTCGTGCTCGAAGCGAAGAGCAACGTTAGCACAAGCATGCCAAGCTCCGTCCACCCCAGTCGTAATACATAAAGGTGAAGTAAGAAGGAAAATTCCCTCGAATCGTGACGATGAGAAAAAGAAAGATGGAAGGCCAGCCACGTCTGGGAAGGATAACAAAAAGATGAAAGGCCTAAAAAGAAATTGAAAACCCTAAGAAGTAGGGGAAGTGGTTAATAGAGGTGAAATACAAGGATGAGAAGTGACCGTTCTCTACGTTTACTATGACTGAATGGGAAACTAAAAGGTTGAGTGCAAACACCGAGAGATACCTATGCTCTTAGGGAATTAAACGAGTAGACGCTAAAAGAATTAATTTTTTTTTACACTTGAGAAGGACTCCCATGCAAAAAGAAGAGGAACAAATGTTATGCCCAAATTTATCCTAGGTCCAAATACAATAAATTAGTTATAAGACTTGAAGAAAGCCATCGAGTTCTTTAAATAGGTCAATTAGTTAATCTTATATAAAGACCCATTAATCTAGACCCATTTAAAAGTGGACCAAAAGTCTAGTAATTAAGTCCAATGCGCCTATAAAACTCCTATTCGAACGTGATAAATGTAATCAGTTCTTTCAAACTAAAATACTAGAGAACTCTCTTAAAATAATAAGAAGTGGACTATGGATTTGGATATAATGTCAAAGGAGACAGATCTGTATAACCACTAATGTGAAAATCGTTAAGAGAGTAGCAAATTCTCAATAACAATAAAACATGACCTCGTATAACTAAAAAGAACATAAGGGATTGCAGCATAGAAGAACGATAGAATAAATCTCTACAACGTGTCAAAAAAAAAATAAATAAAAAATTATATATATATATATATATATATATATATATATATATGCATTGCAAAGCAAGCAAAGAAAGCATGGAGCACAATATTTTAGTGTTTGATTATTTATGGTTTATGGCTCAAATATTGTTATTAAGGTTGGAGACTAGATTAAGAAGTTTGAACTTTACTTTAATTTGTAGTCAATTTCTAGTTATTTGCCCTCCAATCCAGCAATCCAACCAATTTGGGAAATCAAAATTTTTCTACAAGGGTCTCTTAGGCTATTGTAGCCTTTTTTATTTGTTTAATTCTAATGCCTTTGCAACCTTAAAATCTAAAAATCTCATAAATAGCATTCTAATTTATATTTATAAGTCAATTATGTTTATCTACTCGTACAATTGAAAGATTGACTATCATGTAGAATGTTTCTCGATCATCTTTTACTTCTTTCATTACAAGTTTTTTTTTAGTTAAGATCGACATACAAAAAAGCTGTAATACTAACATAAAATTTCTTCTTCTTCTTCTTCTTTTTTTTTTTTCCATCCAGTGATTGTCACCTCAAAACATAAAAATCTCATAAACAGCGTTGTAATTTATATTTATAAATCAATTTTGTTCATCTATTGGTAATATTGAGAGGTTGACTATCATGTAAAATGCTTCTTAATCATCTTTTACTTCTCTTATTATAAGTACTTTTAGTTGAGGTCAACACAAAAAAATCTATAATGATAACATAAAATTTCACTTTTTTTTTGTTTGTTAAGCCGAGTGAGAAAAGAAACAATGCCTTTTTGTTTTTTGGATTTAGGAAACAAAATGTTTTTTTTCTCTATAGAAATAGAAATAATAATGAGAGTTTTTATGAAGGCTGTTTTTTTCAAACAAAAAATCAATTAAGGATATAAATTATGCTTTTAATTAAACATACATTTTTATACAAATCCAACAAAAATAAAAGGTATTAAATGTGTATAAATAATGCTTAATGGGTGCTAACTCTTTAGCTTTTGTATTGAATGGAAATATGGATTAATCACATAAAACATCACTTTACTCTTAATGTTTTTTTAATGTAGCTTATTTATTTTTTTTTATTTATCACGTCGCATTACTTCAATTTTTTTTTTAATATGATCCTTCTAATGATTTTTTTTTGAAGGAACATGAAATTTGAAAAAAAAAAACATGTGTGATCATGACATGTCAGATTAAATTATCCGGTGAAAAAAAAAAATTTAACTGATGATGAAAAGGGACAAAAAAATCCAGGTATAAAAACACAAAGAAAACTCTCTTCTAGTGTTTTGGTGGCCTGTCATCTAGTCTCCTACATTATCGCTGCGAAACTCTCTCTTTCTCCCCTTTCCAAATCAGCCTAAAATCAACGTCGATCATCATCTCTCTCTTTTCTTTATTCTTGAAATAATCATCATATCATAACTCTCAGTCTTTCTTGCAAATAGTAAAATACCACGAGCCGCAAAATATCGAACAAAAATCAAAATCCAGAGATGGAAAAAACACAGAAGAGAGAAATAAAAGTGTTGTTATTTTTATTCGGCCTAAGCTAGAAAAAAGAAGAAGAAATGGCTCTCTTTGCTGCTTCGATCTTGAATACTTCCTGCATTCTCTCGTCTTCTTCCGGTACATTTTCTTAGCTCAACAACAACAACTTGAAGAAGATCTCCCCTTCAAGTTTCTCTACTTTATCTCTCACTCCACGCTCTTCTCTTCTCAGGTTCAATTTTTTTTTTTTTTAATCTTTTTCTCTTTCTTTCTATTTGCTTCAGAACTCAATAACAAAATCGCAATTTTACTTTTTGTTCAATGCAAACAGAGTGGATGATTTTTATTTTTTTTTAATTTAGATCCATTTTCAGTTCTGTTACGTTTCAAAAAAAAAAAAAAAATTATGCCTATTATTTTATTGCTCGTGTAGTTTTGGAGATTGGGTTATTCAATTTCGATACATAATTTAGTTTTTGAATGTGTACAACAGTACAAGAAATGCTGATTTTTCTTTTATTAAATTACTAAATTAATAGAACCTCAAACTTTAAAGACTGATACATGCTAGTGTTTTTATCTTCCATTTGGTTTGATCCAGATGCAGAAGAGAGAAATGCTTAATTTGTTTTTATACCTTTCTTTTCATTTTCTTTTCTTTTTCAGCTAATTTTTTTATTTTATTTTTGCCAAGGTTTTAATTTAATCTAACAAGTCATGACACTTTTTTTTTTTTATTATTATTATACGTCACTTTTGTAAGAAAATTGGTAAAAAAATCCTATAACCACATTAAAATTTTTTCGAGAACATAGAAACATGATAAATAACTAAATAAAATAAAGAGAACATATTAAGAAAATGTCAAAAATAAAGGAATTAATTCAGAAAATATATGACTTAGTATTTTTATTTGATATAAAAGTATTAATAAATAGTAACATATCATGATTGGTTAATTTCATTTTGCTTTCTTTTCTTTTTCTGCTAACTTTTCGATTTTTTTCTATTTTTATCCAGATTTAATTTAATCTGACATTTTATGACGTGTTTTTTTTGGTCATAGGTCACTTTTTTTTTTTAGAAAATGGGTAAAAAAATCATTGGATGTAACACATTAATTAAAAATAAAATAAAAAACCGAACAACATGTTAAAAAAAAAGACTACATTAAGAAAATGTCAAGAATAAAGAGGCAATTTATGCAATTAATCCAGGAAAATCTATGACTTAATATTTCTATTTGAGATAAAAGTAATAATAAATAGTAAGATTGAAAGTGTGATTGGTTAATTTCATTTTACTGATCTTTTCATGTATTAATTTTTATTCAAAAGTTTGTTTTTTTATCAATTAACTCTTTAGATTTTATAAAATAAATTTTTTAAAAAGAAATCGATAGAACTTAAATAATCGAGGAAGTAAAAAAAAAAACCATCCTGTTATTATAAATATGAAATAATCCCAATCCATAATACCGGTTTTTATTTGAAAAGGACAACAGAAGAAGGCGGCCAACCGCGAACCAACGCAACTAAACTAATGGGATAGATTTCCTACTTTCTTACCAAAATATCTCAATTTTCAAAGCATCCACGCGTTAATATATAGGTATTAGGTAGATACCTCCTCTCTCTCTCTCTCTCTCTCTGACTTTTCTGTTTCACTCTCTAAATTAACCCTCACAGACATTAATTCAATTCCCATTCATGAAATCATCATTTCTTCCCGCAGCGTTTGCAGACAAGCTATCTTCTTTGTACAAACTTCTTTTCCTCTGTAGAGATCATAGTAGCATCAAATTATCTATCAAAACAACAGTCCAAAATATGAAATCCAGCCAGGAAATCGCTTATTATTTTATCCTGTCTCTTCTTTCAGCATCTTTTGTCATTCTTTGTTTAGTCCTCGTAATTTTTTGTAGAAAGAAACCTGTAGAATCTGAAGAAAGTCTTACAGGTCCCAAGATTTCTGCACAGGGGTATCCATTAACAGATATTGATGATGCCACAGATGGGTTTAATCATCGAAGAATTATTGGTTCCGGTCGTTTAGGCACTGTGTATGCAGCTGTATTGGCAAGTGATCAAAAGCCAGTTGCTGTTAAAAGAATACACCCTTCTCTTGTTTTGAGCAATACTTGTTTTGGGTTCTCTTCAATTCTTAAAACACTCTCTTTGGCTCAGCATCCTAACATAGTGCCTATAATAGGATTTTCTCAGGCTCCTGGTGAGAGAATCATTGTAATGGAATTTGTTAGCGCGGTGAGTTTGGATTATTATTTGCATGAAAATTCTGATGGGGCGTCATCAGTATTGAATTGGAGCCAGCGTTTAAGGATTGCGGCCGGAGCGGCTCGAGGACTTGAATACTTGCATGAAGGGATGGCACCAAATATTGTTCACGGATGTTTCAAGGCATCAAATGTTTTATTAGATGATAAGTTTTGTGCTAGAGTTAGTGATTATGGGATATCTTCTTTGGCACCAAACGAAAAGAGGGGACTTTTGGGGTATGTGGATGATGAGTATTGGAGAAATGGAAGGGGTGAGCCTTGTAAGGAAAGTGATGTTTATGGGTTTGGTGTGGTTTTGTTGGAGCTTTTGACGGGAAGGAGAGCGGAGGAAGGCTTACTTCTTAGATGGGCATTGCCTTTGATAAAAGAAACGAGGTTTAGTGAGCTTTTGGATCTTAGACTTGTAATGCCTTCTAATATGAGGACAATTATTAGATTGGCTAAGGTTGCTTTGGCTTGTGTTGGCAATTCTAGGAAGAGCAGGCCTTCTATGATTCAAGTAGCTGCAATTTTAAATAATTTGGAGGTTGAGGTATGTGTTCGATAGCTTGTACAAAGTGAAAAACAAATTTTATTTGGAACAAAAGAAGAAAACGTCAACTTTTGAAGTGGCACCAATTTGATTTTTGACAAATATGTTTGTACAGATTATGTAATCGAATGTCCAATTTGATTCTATATTTATTACATAAAAACTGAATTCTTGAATGCATATTTCGAATTGGATGGTCGTACGTTACTATATTTCTCTTTCAATATTAACCAAGTTTGAGCAATTTGAGAGATTTTTTTCTTAAATGTATTAAATTGATTGGTAATTTGGAATAAAAGCAACCTACCCAATGTGGCAACTAACACGGTCTAGAAAAGTTTGCTGTCTCTGGAAGATTATGATAAGGACATTGTTACTAAAGGGCCAAATCGACCAACTTAGAACGCTTTGGGCAAAAAACTGTGTTCTCTTTGCGGAGAATTCTAAATATATATACAGTAACAAGCTAAGCTACCATATACATATTAATCTTTTTTACATCTAGTACATCTTAATTAAGATAGTATTTCTTAATTAAGGAATGAGTATAATATCAAACCTATACAAGCGATGAAATATGCTCATTTAAATGATCAATTAAGATTACATATTTCTTAGCATAAAACCTGCTTATTTAAATGGTCAATTAAGACTAAATATTTTTTGGTATAGAATTTGCTCACTTAAATGGCAAATTAAGACCGAATATTTCTTGGCATAGAATCTATTGACTTTAAATGGGCAATTAAGATTAAATATTTTTGTTGACATCCCCCCTAAATTGATGCTGGTAAATCTACAATTATCAATTTGCCAATAAGGAAATTAAGGCGGACGAGTCATGGTTTTCGTGATAATATTTGCTATTTATAGAGAGGTGGTGATATATGGGAGAGTCAAAACTCGGCCGTCATAAACCTCTCGGATGGAATGGTAGCCAACCTCAATGTGCTTCGTGCGTTCATGTAGACGGGGTTGGTAGCAATTTGGATGACACTGGTGTTGTCGGCATGTAGAGTAGTGGGCTGAACAAGGAAGAAACCAAGCAATGTTAAAAGTCCACGTAGCTAATTGGTCTCCGATCAAGTTGTAGATATAGATCGATACTCTACCTCGGTGGAGGACTTGAGTACATAGTTTTGCTTCTTGCATTTCCATGAGATAAAAGCATCATAAAGAAACATACGGCATTCGGTAGTAGACTTCTTGAGTACATAGTATGGAGCTAGAGTGAAAAACCAATAGGAAAGAAGAGGCCACGATTAGGTGTTCTAAAGATGTATTAAATGATATGTCAAACTATAGAGGAGTGGAGGTGCGAGAGGGATTGCTTGAATCGCTAACTATGTGGACAACATAAAAGATATTTGGTCCGGTGATAGTTAAATAGATAAGACTATGGTGATAATTAAATAGATAAAACTACCAACCAGCTTTCGATATAAGGTAGAATCCTCGAGATGCTTACCTTCGTCACATTTATATGTCACATTAAGTTCCATTAGGGTGTCAATAGAATTGTTGCTTGTGAGTTTGACTAACTAAACCGGATCCCGAATATACTTGTCCGATTCAAGAATATACCGAAGTTCGATGATGCACTTATAAACCCAAGAAGTAGGTGACTCGGCCAAGGTCTTTCATGTGGAAAGTAGAATGTAATAACTTCGAATCTTAGAGATGGCCTCTATATCAAAACCGAGTAATAACATTTTTTTCCATACAAATAAGAAGGACAACTATGTCCTTATATGTCCTTTGTAGAAAGAGGGAGGAGTTATATGTACTTTGATGAAATGAAAAATCGAGAAGAATGGATCAAAAATTTTCAAACCATACTCTTGGTGCTTGTTTCAAACCATATAAAGAGCGTTTTAGTTTGCAAACATCATTAGGTAAAGAAAAGGCATATCGAAGGAAGTTTTATATAAACTTCTTCCTTGAGATCACCATTTAAGAATGCATTCTTAAAATCCATTTGAAGTAAAGGCTAGGATTGAGATACAACAAGAGCTAGTATCATTTGCACAATAATCATCTTAGTTATCGATGTGAATGTTTCATCATAGTCTAGGACATGTTCTTGCATGTTCTCTAGCACCACTAGACGAGTTTTATAACGATCAATGGATCCATCAAAATGAAGTTTTATGAAAAATGCAAACTTACGCAAGAGGTTTCACATATAAGGGATGTGGTACAACATCTTAGGTTTGGTTTTCTTCTAGTACAAAAAGTTACGTGTCAATAGCTTTCTACCAAATCTCATACTCCATTACCTATTTATAAGAGAAGGGAATAGGAATAAAGGACAAGGTGATTGTTAGGGATAGTTATTGGAACGTGATCGGTAGTAAGGAAAGTAGCTTGAGGAGGCTCGAGAAGTGTTGTAGTTTTATTTGATTTGTTACGTCTTTGATGCACCAAGAGTATTTTAAGAGATGAGGAATCTGTGGAAGAGTTCATAAATAAGGGTAGTACAAAAAAGAAAGGAGGAAGATGATCTTAGTATGTGAGAAAAAAATACTATTTTTTTAGGAATATCATATTTCTAGAAACCCGAATACGATATAGATTAGGATTATAGCAAAGAAAACCTTTTTGATTTACAAAATATCAAAGGAAAGCATATTTAACTAATTAAGCTATGAGTTTTATGCGTTTGTGTGTAGAAAGACGAGCATAACACACGTAACCAAAGGTACGAAGATTAGAATAATTTAGAATGTGACCAAATAATCGAGTGTAGGGAGAGGCATGGTTCAATGAGGGAGAGGGTAATCTATTAATGAGATGGATCATAGTGAGGAGAGCTTCAAGCTAGAACTTAGAGGGCACATATGAATCGAATAAAAAGGTGCGGACAACATCAAAAAGGTGACCATTCTTTCTTTCAACCATCCTATTTTGTTGTGGAATTGAAGGATAAGACCTTTGAGAGATTATACCATTAGTGTTTAGAAAATCTTGTAACAAGTGACTTATATATTCACCTTCATTATCCGAATAAAAAATTTTAATAGTGGCAAAAAATTAGATCTGAATATATACATTAAAAAACTTGAAAACAAAAATACTTCATCTTTAGAATGTAAAAAATAAATCCATATGAAATGAATATAGTCATTAATAAAAGTGATAAAATACTTGTAATAAGCATGAGGCATAACTAATGCCACACCCCACACATCACTATATATCATATCAAAGGGTTGAACTATATTTGCTGTGTCAGTGGGGAAAGATAGAGTTTTGCTATTGCCAAGTTTACAAGAATGGCAATCAAATTGAAAAACACTAAGAGATGGTGACTTTTTATTCATAGATAAACCAGATTTGAGCAAATCGTGAAACATAAAAGTGTTTTGGATGTCCTGGACGTTTATGCCATTCTTGATAATCAACATAGGTAGAATTACAAGTGACAAAAAGCAATGAAAAATGTAAAGAAAAAGGAAATTAGAAAGGAAAAAGATGTCCAACTTTAGGCACCCTTACAATCATCTTCCCCGATTCCTAATCCTTCATAGCCAGATTTAGAAAAAATCACATTACAATTATTGTAAACCAATTGGCTGATAGAGCCAAGATTAGTGGTTAGACTAGGAGAGATAAAGACATTAGTGAGAGAGGCACAAATATCACCAGTGACAGTGATAGGTAAATGACTACCATCAATAGTATGAATCTCAAGATTTTTAGAATATTTGTTCACATTGCTAAGGAAATGAGTATTATTTATCATATGATTGGAAGTAGTCAAATCAAAGTACCATGTAGGTGATGTAGAGAAGGATTTATCCCAAGATTCCTAAAGAAGAGAATGCAAAAATGATCATTTTAGGTTGAACGGGTTGAATAGGAGTAAGAGCACTTTGTGTGTGTGAATGTGTTGTATTCATAGAACCACAAGCACTAGAAGTTCTAATTGAGGCAGTATATGCTGTTGCAGACCCCTTGGGGGTCAAGTAGGGCATTCCTTAACAATATGGTCACCTTTTTTGCAATAGTTGCAAAAGTTTTTAGGATAATTGGAAGTACAATCATCAAATTCTTTGCAATAAAAACATGGAATAATGCTCATATCCTTACTTCTTAGCTTACCTTCTGCTGTATAAGCCACATAAACAAAAGTGGATTGTTGTTTTTTCATGATGTTTTGAGTGAGAAGATGCTGATCCTTGCGAAAAAATCATTCAAGCATGCATCCAAGGAGGGGACAAGGTCTCTGTTCATAAGGTTGGATCTGGTACTTTTAAATCCAAATCCATGGTTCATAAGAAATTGATCCCTTTTAGTAGTCTCATGAACAGATTGAACAGAGCTAAGACTTTCAGGAGGTTAAGCAGCATGGATTATATGAGTATATTCAGTCTAAAGATTCATGAAACTAGAGTAAAAATTAGAGATAGAGAGACTGTACTGTTTGAGAGTGGTTAAGTCATGTTCAATTTGGAACCAACGGGCAAAGTTGTGATGGCTGTAAAGTTTCTTGAGATGAGTCCACATCTCAACTGTAGTATTGAAGGGTCGAAGGTTCAGGATGATGTTGGATTCGATAGATCCATAGAATCCATGCCATGATTTAAGCATTCGCAAGCTCCCACTTGGCCTGCTCATTTTCGTCTTTGTCTGGATAAGGGTTGCTACCATCAACATGGCCCCAAAGAGCTTTCCTTTTGACAAATATTTGGAATTAAAATGCCCAAGCTAAGTTGTTTTTTTTTTTCCTTGTTAAAACAGATAAAAAAGGCATCACACTTATCTGAAGACATGTGTTGAGAGACTTTGATCAAGAACAACTAGGAACAACAAACTAAACTAGGAGAAGGGACAAGAGATAAGTGAAAATTCAGAATTGTGGCTATGATACCCTGACAAAATTAGAAGGCCTTGAGAAAAAACCGTGTTCTTTTTGTGGAGAATTCTGAATATACATACGAACAAGCTAAGCTACCACATACATACTAATCTTTCTTACATCTAGTTTATCTTACAAAGATATCTTAATTAAG